TGGAATTAAAACTATTCCCCCGGGCTGTTCCCATGCATTTAATCAGTTTCCGACTCTAAAACTGTTGCCCGCTGTACACGAGAGAAGCCTCTGGTAAACAAGCTAGGTACCTGTGAATGAACAAGCGAAAGTAAAGGGAAGTAAAACTAATGATAACCCTCCCTGGATGAAGCAATGAATACATCGATTCAAACTTGATCTTTCTGGAAGCGCTTGTTGTAAGGTGAAACGCCCATGGCAAGAAAACACTACTATTTACTGTTGTTCATTGAGCCCCCTNTTCCGGCCTCTTATTCTAAGTCTTCTAGTGATTTTCTTTTTTTTACGTCTTTTTTTATATTTTTTATCCGACCGACCTACCCCAAATCAGGAAACACATTCGACGCTAAACGAAAAAAAGGGTTGGCCTCATACCAGAAGAACTGTCTCCTAAACCATCTCGAATCTCGAGATAAGCAGTGACGGGCGACTTTAATTAGAAACTCAGTGATTGGCCACTGGCGTCTAACCGCGAATATCTTGTCGTAGTATGTAACCCCTATTTCTCCAAACTGAACTCGGGTTCAACACAGGCGTCCCAAACTCTTGTTGAAGTTAACACAACTGGCAATATTGCTTAAAAAAGTAATTTATCGGATTTATAGGAACCGGTTTTAATTCGAAAAAAAAGTTCATTATCGCAGCTCATTACTTTTCCTTAGATAAGCTCCGATAACGCTTTTATTTGGAATTAAAACTATTCCCCCGGGCTGTTCCCATGCATTTAATCAGTTTCCGACTCTAAAACTGTTGCCCGCTGTACACGAGAGAAGCCTCTGGTAAACAAGCTAGGTACCTGTGAATGAACAAGCGAAAGTAAAGGGAAGTAAAACTAATGATAACCCTCCCTGGATGAAGCAATGAATACATCGATTCAAACTTGATCTTTCTGGAAGCGCTTGTTGTAAGGTGAAACGCCCATGGCAAGAAAACACTACTATTTACTGTTGTTCATTGAGCCCCCTAATCACAGATCACAGTCGAGCGGTGGATAAAAATCACAAAGGATCAGTAATCTCCTGGAATCTTCCTCTCTATGACAAGCATCAGCTGAACTTATAAGCATAATAAGAAGCAGAACAAAGCGTCTTTAATGACGTGAGCTAAAGCAAACAACATGAAATATAAATCGGCTTGATGTTCAGTCACCAACAAAAGGCTTCGGATATGATGAAATAGTAAAAAGAAACAGACAAACCTGAAATTTTGGCAGACGCATTCACTACCGTCTCAGGCTTCTAGAATGACATATCAGAAAATTAAAACACCATTCTCGTATCATTAACATGAAGTGGTTGCTTCCTCGCTGGTCTCGACTCTTTGACATCTTGTTTCTATGGCAACTTGCAAAAGGCTAGCATAATGACACTTTTAATATTGCATTGACCAATAATAATTTTCATCGTTTCTTCTGCATTATGAATATTACACCTAAGGAAAATTACAGCACTTACATGGTTCCTCTCAACTTTTAGAACACTTATAAGTAATTGAAGCGGGGTCAACCATTAGACATAACAACTCCACACCACAAAGTTTTGGAAGAAAGCCTATCAGTATCAACTTTTTGAAAATGATGAAATTTATATTAAGACATCCTTCAGAGTTGATCCTGGCACTTGAAACTTAGTAAAAGATTGCCTTTCTTCTTAAGCCGATTTTAATTTTTATAGATATCATCTCGTCACCCAACTATCACAATAATATAAATAATTCATAATTCCCCGAGGATGACAAATCAATTGAATAAGTATTTGAACCGGCTTCTTTGACTTCCATTGCTAATTACTTTGCTATATAAGGTTCAACCAATTAGTCTTCCATAGCAAAAATGAAAGGGAAGATAAAAACGAGATAGAAAGGGTGTGAACAAGAACTAGAAGAGATTCAGTGTAAATTAAAATGCATTAATTATTACACGATCCATCTCCGCATCTTTAAAAAATAACGAAACCGGTACTAACCACCAATTTCCTTTGTTTTACAGTATTCCCGCATATCCTTGAAGCCAAATCTGAATTTTAATTTATGGAGATTTTGCCGGTCTCAACTCAGAGGGAGGTCGAGCCATATTGCTCGAAGTCCTATAAAATGAAAAGATCAACCCATTTTAAAATTTTCCATGAGCTGGATACAAGCGGAAGAAATCTGACCAAGGGATGTAACTAGAACTTTGAAATACACCCACAGTCAAGTCAACCCTGTCTCTTCCGCAGAGGCCTCTTTGTATAGGGATACTCAGCGGGAACCTCTACGGAGGAGAGAGAACTCAATCGGCTTGTTAACACTGATAGGGGTTTGAATTAGACTGTTCACAGTCCCCTATTTTTTCGTGAGATCGTTTAGATATACCGCTTCTTACCGTCACAGGTATCTTAATTTTCAAATGTACCGAGGGGGCGGGAAGTAGTTTTGACACTCATGCAAGATGGCAGCCCGTAACGCAAAACGCTCGATCACGATGATCTTACGGAAAAATAGAGGACTGTGAACAGTCTAGGTTTGAATTAAAGGATTCAATTATTTTCTTGCCATAGCAGTTTTGATAGCAAACGATAACGGAGACTAAACAATCATTTTTAATAATCATTTCTTTCCGGATCTATACTAAGCCCTTTTAATCCCAGACCAATTACATATTGAAGTTATGTTCAATCTTTTGTGTGAGCCTACGGACAAACCATTAAATGCCAGCTAAATTGCAGCTCAGTTAGGCGGTCAGAGAAAATTGAAATTTTGGTGTGAGAAGCGGAGAGCCATATTATCAATGTGTAACTTTGAATGTTGACGATCATTATAATAGGCTGCGATAATCCTTTATTCGCAAAGCCTTCGCGGGGGCAACTTCCGCAAATCTCCCCCGGGAAATCTCCCTGCCAAAACTGGAGTATTTAGCTTAGCACATTTCTTTTTTATCGTTTGTTTTAATATGGTCATTAAAGTATATTAAAATATAATTGATATTTGATGTCAAAGGACTGGTTGTCCAAAGTGATAATAATTATGAACTTTGTGTAAAACTGATGGCCAAGGTTGCCTGTGTATTTATACAGATGTTTGGGCCATAATTATAGCTGGTTTTTTTCGGTCCTGGATGCAAGTAAAAGGGCGGCTTTCGTCTACGCCATAAGGCATAGCGTTATCGCCCTTTAGCTTAAAGCTCTGGAAGAAAGTTAATTTCCCTTTTTTCTTTGTTGAAAAGAAATCCGGACATTTAGGGGGCCCGCAATTAAAGGAAGCGCTAAAATAGCAAAGAATACCTCTTTAAATAACTTTGTGATTGACATGAACTAACATACCTACTGAAATTTAGGAAATTTAATCGCAGAAAGCGAGGATGAAGGAATAAGCTTGTAACTTAGTAACCCCCTACGGAAGGGTGATTAGCTTCAGAACGGAAAGAAGAGACTGGAAAAGTTGGTGTGAAGCCCGTTATGTTTCTGTTCCCTTTTTCTTTTATTGTTTCCTCTTTAATAATTGAGTTACTTCTCACAAAAGCATTTATGTTTACAAGCAGTAACTCGGTGCTTTCACCTCACTAGCATACTACTTGGCTACGGACCAGGCCACCCACGCAGACGTTCTTTTGGCTTAGCACGCAATATCCGGCCCCAACGAACGTTCGTGGGGAAGGAACCCGTGACGAACCCCTAAGAATGTCTGCTTAGGAGGCTAGATGAGACCAAGCTGTTAGCTGGCATTTCAAAGAGATTGGCAAGTTTGAAATCAGGGTCGGCCAGGGTTTTGGGGTATAAGGTATACAGGGGCTTTTTAAATCGGGTATACGGTATATTGCAGCTTAAATACGGGTATTCGGTATATCACTTTCTTTGAATTTCAGGTATAAAGTATACCTACATGAATTTAGGGTATATTTGGATGAATTTTGGGTATTTTGGCGAATTTTTTTCGGGTATACTGGTATACCACTACCCCCCCTGGCCGACCCTGTGAAATGCCCATTGTGATCTTATCTGCTGGATGGTAGTAGATCACGATTGTTTCATTATATGCTTAAACATTATGTTATCTAATGCAAATTTCTCACTCTTCTTTCCTTACCCCCTCCGCACCTGTTCAATCATAATTTTATCTTAGATTTTCTCATGATTTGCAATTAAGATGTCACACTTATTCACGCTTATGTCAGGCTTTATTCACTTATTCTCTATTGGAGGTTCAGTTCGCAAGGGGGGGGGGACGTTTTGAAATGGCTTTCTTCAATGACATCGTTTCTTGGACGTAGCACTTTTCTTGGAAAAGTTTACAAGGGATGAAAGTAAAAACGGAAATGAATAGAAATGGACAGAATAGAAATCGAAAGGGAAAGAAGTTTACCCAGCATGCCCACCGGCAATGTGCTTTGAAAAAGAGCGCGTCGCCCAGAGAAAACAAAATGGCGGAAGAAGGTATGGTACTGAAGTGATGTATTTTTTTGTGTAGCTGATTTATATAGCTGTCTTTCCTAAATAAAACGTGAAATAGTTATTGTGTGAAACATTTATGCTATAGGTATCTAGGTATGTTGCCTGTGCATCACGTATATCTAGGAAAAATTTGTAGTTGAGTGGATAATCGAAGTTTTCGGGTAGCAATCATGCACTTCAGCTACAAGTCTTTTTGTTGTCCGTTTTGAAAGATCGATTTCCAGCTCCCTATGTGAAAGGGATTTAAGGAATAAATTTGAAAGCACCAAGGAAAGGAATAATATCGACCAGATCGCGATTAATAATAATTTGAGGTCGAACGCAGTATTACTTTCAGCTCAGTGTACTGGTATAACCTAAGTATTAATTATAAGAATTCGTTTCAAAATATCAGAACAGATGTCAAAATCGGGGTTTTTCCTATCCTGATCGCATATTGGCTGGGATTCAAGGAAAATCAGGGGAATCCTGATGAGATCGGGATGGTTGGACAGTCTGAAATGGAAATATTTCTTAATTTTCCTTTTAATTTTA